GTAGTAAAAGTATTACTGTAGTAAAAGTATTACTGTAGTACAGTAGTATCAGTTCTCACCTCTTGGGACCTCAGACGTACAAACAGTCGTCCTCCATGTTGTGTCCTCTCCGCTGAAATCTGACCTCAGACCTGTGATGATAATTTTAGCCTTGGGGTCACATGACTCCGCCCACAGTCACACATGACTCGTCTTCATCACGTGACCCCGCCCACAGTCACATGACTGGAGCATCACGTCCAGACGTTTTCATGAGGACAAGGCCACGCCCACTGAGTCACATGGTCAGGTTTGAATCCTCAGTAAGTTGATGGTTTTAGTTTCTATTGATCGTTGTTACGTCATTTTGTTGTCAAATAATGATACAATGTTCATCAGTGAACATTCTCACTGTTTGTCTCCAGAGACGTGATGAACTTCATCCTCTGACACGGTCACGTTAGTTTGTGCTTCTCAGACAACTTCGTTGAAAAAACTAAACTTTCTCGTCTCTAACGCTACGAGAAGTAAAAAGTGTCCGAGCCCTTCAGATCAAGTCTAAGTCGAACTTTACCTGAAGCTGCTGCCACGGGATTGGCTGAGTGGACAATCACACCACCAAGCAGGTGTTCCTAATAAAGTGCTCAGTGAGTGTGAAGCATTGTTAATGCTGCAGTCGAGGTCACCAGAGTTTAAACCTTTTCAGTAAATTGAGCTCTCGTTGTTTCGATCAGGTTTTCAACTTTATTCACATTCATCTCTTTACATGTAGTGTCAATAAAAACAAACACAGCAGAAAAAACTGTAACAGACGACCAACACCAAGTGCTTTTTACCCAGCAGTCCCCAGGGCGCACTGAAGAAGTCCAGGAGAAGAGACGGAGACGTCCAGCACAGCTCGAGGAGGAGGAGACCAAACACTGGAGCGAGGTCCATCGGGGACACAAACTCCGCAGGGACCAACATGTTGATGTGAGGTCACTGCCCCCTGCTGGTCACAATCATACAGCTACAGTAATGTAATGTGAGCAGCAGGTGACTCTTGATACAGCAGCTGTTCATCATCAGATCAATATATCAATCTGATCAACTTCTGTCCACGTCTGTGTCCTGGAGACACAGAAGATGAAGATGTTGATGATGCAGATGATGACTGCCTGATGATACGATTCATTCTTATTATTATTATGGGCGGGGTGGGAGGGTGTTCTGAATATAGTGTGTGATTCATTTGTTGCAGATCGATTATTAATTATTGATCCAGGAGTTCAAGTTAACTTCTAAACTCTGAGGGTGAAGAGTCATCATGAAAACAACATGACTGACAGACTGACTTCAGCCCCTCCCCCCGGCTCAAGGCAACAAGGAAACGATGGCCATCAAACATGAAGGCGTCCAAACAGATGAGGCAAAGTCGGCGAGGGGAGGAGGGGGGAAGGTCTGATCGTGTGGTGTCTCCGTCTCCCGGGGCTGATGACAAACAATCCTCTTTATTTCAGGTCCAGCACCATGCTCGCCGGGTTCTCCAGGTACTCCCTCCACAGGTTGGAGAAGCGACACATGGTGGCGCCGTCGATGATGCGATGATCTGCCGACCAGCTGACCTTCATGATGCGAGCTGGGACCACCTGACCGCCAGCATCGAACCGAGGAAGAACCTTAACAGAAACAGGAAGTAGGTTAGAACATAGTTATTGATCAGTTTGATATGATCCTTAATTAATAAAATTGTATGTTGTGGAGCATGCATCATTCTGTTGTCATGGTAACTGGGCTGATGAAGACCATGGTGAAGCTCAGGGACAGTTAGTGTGTCGTAACTGGACCAACCTGGATTTTTCCCAGAGCTCCGATGGCGACCTCTGGTGGAAGAATCACCGGTTTAGCGTACGTCCCCCCGATCTGACGGAGACAGACAGAGGTCAGAGGTGTCACTGCTGTGGCCTAATGTAACTGGTCGAATATCTGTACAGTCTCATTCAGTTTGTTTCTCAGATCTTAAAGTGCGACATCATCCACGGTGTGAAAACGTAAATTCTAAGCGTGGTTGATTTCCACAGTGTAAATCTCTTAGTAAGAACTGTCCAGCATCAACCCCAGTGAGCAATGATGTCACACACGGTGAGTTTATGTGCATGTGTGAAGTTTACCTTGTATTTGTTGGATTCTCTCGAGAGTCTATGAGACACGTTTTTAAAGACATTGAAGATAAGTCCAACATTTTGAACGCTCATTGTTCATCTGCTACAAGACACGAGATGTGACATACACACACACACACACACACACACACA